CCGGAGCCCACCAGGTCGAGGTTGCGGTGGCCGGGAGCAGCCACTGCATTCCAGTCTGGGTGACAGAGTGAGACTCCAATTCAAAAAAAAAAAAAAAAAAAAAGACATAACAGAATCTGGAGCTCTGCAGTCTCCAGGGCTTGACAACCACCCTCTACCCACCTTGGGAGACAACAGGCTTCCTCAATCAACGGAAATTTTGACATCTAGAGACCGATATTCTCTGATGTGAGGGGCTATCCTGTACTTGGTAGGATGTTTACAAGCATCCCTGACCTCTACCCACTGGGGGCCGGTGGGGGGGGTCCTCTCCCAGTTGTGACAACCCAGATGTCTCCAGTCATTGTCTCCAGGCGGGGACTTGCCCCCCCATTTGAGAACCACTGGAAAGAAACTGAAGCCTGCTATTCCAACACCCCATCTAATGTGTGAATTGCTTCTGTGACATTCCCGCCAGGTGGCTGCAATTGCCGACTACAGCAAATGTGCTCAAGCACTGTCTCAAACACAAACTCCCCAAAATAAAAAAGAAAAATATTAAACATTTTCATGATTTGGGGCCACTGATAAATTTACGTTAGCTCCTGGACTTTTGCTGCAATAGGTAGAAGACATGAGGGGAAAGTACTTAAATACAGATTTCTGGGGACTCAACTCACACACTCTGTGATCATAGCCTTCTTGGACACGTGAGGAAACTGAACACTCATTTCAGGCAGCCTTTAGGGACGAGAGGGACTTCACTCAGAAAAGCAGTGGAAAGGGAGAAGAAACAGACGTGGAAAGAACCTTGGTCTTAGAACCTGTGGATCTCATTTTGGATCTGCCTATCACCCCGTTCTAGCTTAATTTCCTGATCTTTAACGTCCTCTTCTCTAAAGTGAGGACAAGGCCAGGCATGGCAGTTCACATCTATAATCCCATCACTTTGGGAGACTGAGGAGGGAGGATGGCTTGAGAGAAGCAAGTGGAGTTCCAGACCAGCCTAAGCAACATAGAAAAAGATTAGTTGGGCGTGGTGGTATAATCCCAGCTACTCAGGAGCCTGAGCAGGAGGATGGCCTGAGCCCAGACGGTTGTCTGCGGTGAGCCGTGATCATGCTGCTGCACTCCAGCCTGGGTGACAGTGAGACCCCAACTCAAAAAAATAAAAGAAATAAAATGGGTCAATAGCACTCCCCTCCCTTCCCCAGGTTGGCTGCAAGGATCGGTTATGAACGTGTCTGGCCGTAAAGGTGAATTTGCTGAGCGGGCGTGGGGCGCTGCTCTCTGGCTCTTCCATGGAAGTGCCTTCTTCCACCTGCTGTGGTCAGACCCCCCCTTCACGCATGACGCGTGGTTGTGTACGCCTTCTGGGCCCCTCCTCTGGCAGGCTGAGGTCCTCATGTCTCCCCTGGGCACTGTCCTGCTGAACCTGGAGGACTTCTAGAGAAAGGCAAGAGGAGGCAGAACTGGGAGATGATGGGCGTTCCTGCCTTGGTGTGGTGTCTGAGAGCGGGGAGCTCCTGTGCAGAGCATCGCCTGCAGGAGTCGGGCCGAGAGCAAACACCACAATGCGCGCGCGCGCGCACACACACACACACACACACACACAC